AACGAACAACCACAAGTAAGAAGTATTACAATTTTTAATGAGCAGGTCTTTTTCTTGATGTTCACTCTAGAGTTATTTTGAGACTGGCGAAAGCTGAGAACTGATCGAAATTGCATTGTATTTGAACTCGTTTATTTAAAAAAGAAATAAAAAATCATATTTGATAGGAAACTTTGTTTCCCGGCCATCGAATTCACGACTTTCCATACCAAGTCTCAGTGACCATGAACTAAGCATTGAAACGGGGCATCAAGGTACAGTGACATTAAAAGAAAAGATCTGTGACCAGTTTTCCTTGACACCTCGGTTTAATGCTTTGTTCRTAGTTGCTGAACTTGGGTATGGAAAGTCGTGAATTGAAACCCTGATTTCACAAAAAATGAAGTTAGCCTACACCTGCAGTTCAGAATCAGCATTGATCTCAATTCTAACTCTTGCATGCCGATGTCAAAGCGACTAAACTGACTTCTGATACCTGATTCCTGATATACACTATGCTGTTAGTTAGATTGATTTTAATTAAATTTATCGAAATCTCTTTCAAATCAGTTGTCCTAGAAAACAAAACCTTTGACATCTGTCTTCATAATTTTTCCGTTTTAAACCGATGTACACGCGTTCGCTTTCGACTACGTTGCTTACCATATAGGCTCTGTCACCTATTCCCATGATTTCCGTGCAGAAATTAAACTCAAGCATGAACTTCTAAAAATCAAGAGCTAATAATTCTGGTGTATGTCTTACAATTTACTGGCTTGTTGTGATCGAACTTAACAACACATTRCTAYAAATCATTTGAGTCATTTTTGTAAGTACTTTTGTCTGCACCTCGTTTTAAGGAGGTCTTCCTCGKCTTCTACTTTTATCAGAGCATACATCGATACCCATATATGAATAATGTATTGGTCTTTTCATCAGACTCCAGTAACRACTRAGRTTAATGGTATMAAGATTGGATTTCTTGGATATTGTTCATCATTTCGGGAAAGACTTGACCCCARCGGAGACATCGTCTATCACTGCATCAAGAAACGAAGAGGTCTGG